AAGTAGTTATGCTCCTACCTCCGAAAGGATGCCAAATTATGCTCCAAATTTTCAACCACCAAATTATGCCGGCATAATTATGTCGTTTTGTGCATGGGCGACTTGCACTTGCACTGTTGACGCTGCCGCGGGAATGCATATAATAATAATTATTATTATTTAAACAATCGACGAGGAGAGAATAGTCGTAAAATGGCAATAAATAAGATAAATGAGCCAGCACAAGCGAAAAGGGACCTTATCCGTTTTTTGGGCATTTTGAGTTAGCAACGGATTCTTGTAGCCAGAGAACGTATGAATCAGATAAAAAAAACCGAATGAAAATCCATCAACATATAGCAAAGTTACGGACGTTTAAATCAACACTGTTTTCACCAAAACATCGCACATATTCACGAATAATCTTTGAAATGCGTAAATTGCAATAATTTGGCAATAGAAGCCTTACAGAAGCCTTCGAGTCACCAGCAGAAGGGCTGGAGGATACAGTATACACACACTACTGGGCAGTTGGCATAAGTTTCACTGTGATGGAATTTATAGTGCCAAGCGTGACGTCTGATGGGCCATCACGTCCTTCCGTACCACGCAGGCACGCCGCATTTTAGATCTAACAACAAGAATAATAGAATGTTCTGAGGCATGTAGCTTTGACACAGCACCAGACTCTAGCAATTATCAGGCTCAAAACGTGTGTTGCACTACGCAAGTTTGTCATTCCTCCGGCACAGGCGGACACAGCTCATCCTTGTAAGGGTCTGCCACAAACGGCCGGATATCCTTGAACAGGTACTTCTGGCGTTCTTGTGACAGACCTGCTGGGGGGCAACACTTGGGGAAGGCCTGCTGCTCTCACCTGCTCAGGTGTGGTCTTCAACAGCTGAACATGGTCAGTCAGCTGATGCATGCAGTCGTCTTCTGCTCCTCACTCCCAGTCGCCATCACGTTGCGCCGCAAGTCCTCGCACACCGGGCAAACATCCATGCGAGCCGTCATGAACTTAATATGCGGCAATGTCTGGTGCCAGATGGAGCGGAACGTCGACAAGGATACAGACTTCTTACCCTCCTTATGGCAGCAGTCGCAGAAGTCTGCATGCACGGACTTGTACGTTTGTGACGCTGGAAGGAAGATAGGTGGCGTGTCGTCTCTGCCACGGAGTGGCGCAGGATGTGGAATTCCAAACACTTCCGCGTGCCGAGTGATGTACTCCACGCAGTACTTCACAACATCAAACTCCAGGACATTGTGTGGCCGTTTGCCTGTGTTGCCGTGCACTAGTGGCACAAGCCCATTCTTCTCCAGGTGGCTTCTGTACCGTTTCAGCCTCTTGCTAGACAGTGCATACACGTGACGGAACGCACCCCCACAAACAGTCCGTCCTTGGAATTTGTAGGTAAAACGCTCCCTCTTGCGCTTCTCTCCACTCTCAAAAACTTTTTCAGGATTACTTAAAGCTTCAGGAAGGCCCAGGACCACCAGCTCACTCTCGTGCGACTCCATTTCTCTCATGTTCAGGATCGACGTCTCGATGTCAGCTGGGTCAAATTGCTGCAAGCAATTTTTTGAACATCCGCAGTTCTCTTTTTGACGAACAGTGTCGTCCTCCTCTGCCGGCGCAACGGTCGCTTCACAAGCTGCTGCGGAGCTAGCCTGCGGAGGTTTGGGCTCTGCCTTTCCGACATACAGCTCTGCTGCTGTGTCGACATCCACTCGCTGCTGAAGAAAGTGTCGCCGTCGTCAGGTTGAACCGAACGTCACTGGCGTCCGACTTGTCTTCCTCACCAAAAACTTCAGCCTCATCTCTTCCAGGAGAGATTTCAGCGCTTCGTTCACGGTGAAACATTTACGATGGCTCATAGTGAACAGCTACGCCGACCCAAGGACTTAGCAGAAAGCGAAGACGGCAAGACAACTGCGCTGAAACTGTGAAAGCAACTCTTTGTCTTTCCGCTCGCGCGTGCGATTTTATTCAGCGGAGGTGTCGACGTGTCACCTGGTCACGGTCGATCGATTTTGATCGCCGATCGGTGGTACGTGGGTCGATTTAGCCAGGGTTTTCTTCTACAGGAGCTGTAGGATACTGGCTCTCCAATACAAAGAATGACTGAGCTCCAAAGAAGTCGCGTATCGCCAAAAAACGAACAGTTTCAAGTTCGATCCGAACGTGACAGCTGAGAATCAGCTGATTCACTTCAAGTGCGGTTTTCTCAAAATCACGTGCAGCAGGATAAGGTCCCTTTTCGCTTGCGCCGGCTCAAATTGTGCACTCATAACAACAGCAAAAAATGAAGAAAGTCAAGTTCCATAACGTTTTCTTGTGACTGTCATCAGTGGAACGCCGTCACATCAAAATGTAATAACTAAAACACACATTGCAAAGGTGCAAACTTCGCTTTTTGTACCTGTTAGCTGCTGTATTTCTACCTGAAACCATATTAGCTACATGTATATAAGTGTGTGTTTTAGTTATTACATTTTTATGTGACGGCGTTCCACTGATGACAGTCACAAGAAAACGTTATGGAACTTGACTTTCTTCATTTTTTGCTGTTGTTATGAGTGCACAATTTATCTTATTTATTGCCATTAATAATAATTATGTCGGCATAATCCGCCGGTGCCTAACTGGGACTTTATCTGACCATGTAGCTCGAAGATCAGTGAAATGATGAAACCATGTACTTTATGACATAAGAAATCCCCCATGCAGCTCACGCGACAAGTGCGTGCAGCCAGTGGTGTTCACGTACCAGTCAACACAAAGTGACTAAGCTAGCAGCTTTTGTCGAGCATTGACATGAAAACAAGAGACTTTTGCTGTTGGACTATGTTCGAGATTGCAGGAGGTAAGTGTGAAAGATGAATAACTCCTCTTGCTTTACGGTGGGGGGGGGGGGGGGATATTTCAACGGCTTGCTGACATTGCAACACTCCTAGGACAGTTTGTGGGGGTTCTCAGCAGGTCAAGCAGGAAATGCAGCGCTTCTTACCTCAGCCATCACGGCCTGTTCCCAGTAGCGTTCCAGGCACGATCGCGATCGATGGCCATGTGCTGTGATATCAAGGAAGCGTCATCCTACGTCACAGAGCACAGGATCTCACCGTGCATCTTGCAATAAAAATTTAATATTAATTCAAAAACTGTGATCAGGAATTCATTTACTTTTGCATGAACGGCGCCCCAAAAATTGTTGGTGGCACAAGGAGGATCTTGTCGTTTGGAGTGACAAGTGATCACCGCTGCTTTTCCTTGTCAGAGTCAACAATACACCTTGTTTTGTAGATTTGGGAGTAGTGTTGAAGTAGAAAGTGCTGAGGAGACGTCGCGGAGGGGCGAGCTTTCCCGCGCAGGTATGACTTTGGCCGTATTTCAGGTTGGTCGAGTGGAAAAAATCACAAAGGTATATTTCAAGAAAACCCCAAAGGGAAGATGGGGAACATGTCCTCAGTGCTAGAAGATGTGTTCTACTATCTTCCCGTGTACTTGTATAATTCTTGCCAATTGAAGACGTAGCTGGCTGATTTTCAAGCCCTTGTAAATTGGCTATTTTCAAGGCAATCATTTGTGGCCTCAGGGGGTGATGGCCCTCCTCTTCTGGGATCCTGGCGTGGCCGAGCGGTACTGCTCCAGGAACTCTTCTAAGCTGAGGCAATATTGGCTTGACAGAGATTTGTTCGTAGCCTGTTCCTATATGCCGCATGTGGCTTGACTCGCCATTTTTGAGGGTATGCAAGTTTCAAGGTTCCCTTGAGAAACACTTTCAAGGGCTTTTAAAAATCAATCCACACCCCGAAGGGAACCTACCTGCAAATTTTGAGCGAAATGGGAGAGATCCACTTGTACACATATTATATGGCTTTTATATGGCTTTTTATATGGCTGCTCTAGTGCTGCTGCATCGCGCAATGCCCGCTACATTTTGTAGTTTGAGCACTCTGGCGCTAGAGCGACGAGCTACCTTAATGTCTGTGGTGCCTCCTTTGCACCATGGCTGGTAGCTCGGCCTATTTAGCTCGTAGCTGTACTGATGAGGCCTTGATGGCCGAAACAGCTTGCTGTCTCCAGCATTGGGTATCTCGCTCCTCGGCTCTCGCCTTGTTGAGCATTCTCAGTAGGCTGCTCTAGAGCTGCTGCATCGCGCAATGCCCGCTACATTTTGTAGTTTGAGCACTCTGGCGCTAGAGCGACGAGCTACCTTAATGTCTGTGGTGCCTCCTTTGCACCATGGCTGGTAGCTCGGCCTATTTAGCTCGTAGCTGTACTGATGAGGCCTTTCTGGCCGAAACAGCTTGCTGTCTACAGCATTGGGTATATGGCTTTTAGATTGATAAGTGAATCCATGAGTCATTCGCCCTTTGTGGATAATTCTCTAAAAAATGACAGATTCTGCTCAAAAAGCATTGAAATTTAAAGAACCTTCAAACCTTATGGCACGCACTTCCTTTATTTCTGCTCCATTTCTTCATCATCATAACAAAAAGGGAGGGGTTGTTAACATAACAAAACATTAACTAAACGTACCATAAAGAATACCGAAGATTTTTGTACCTTTTTCTAACTCGATGGTCCGCCAAAGACTATAAGTCCCTGGGGAAGTCCCCTTTTAGGTATCCTGTTTCATGTCATATTCAGGTCTCTCGAAATTTGTACCATATTCAAGCCAGTATGTTGTTCATGCTTCGGCGGTCAGTTATTTTTCTCCAGTATCAAACAATTATATCGTTAGAAATTGCGTTTTTTCAGCTTTGCAACAAACCTCATTCTAGACATAAGAAGAAAAATGACGGAGGCTATATTTTACAGTGGTATTTGTGAACTGTGCAACCTAACCTAGTTGCATATGAATCATGTTGCGGGTAGGAGTGTAGGTTATTTCTGAAAACAGCATCATGATTCGGCCTTACAGATTAGAACTACTATATCCTAGACTTTGTATTTTGTGCACTACCCAGAATTAAGCAAGAACAACATTGTCCTTGTGGCTTGTCGTTTGTAGAGATTTGAGGATTAATCAGATCCAGAGTTTAAGTGATGGTGTGTTCTCTTGTCTAACAACCCTGCAAACACTGTAAGTACTCTCAACTGCAACACTGAACGCTGGGAACAGTTATAAAACTGGGTGTATATAGGGTACTGCTGAATACCTGATGAACAAACCTCTAATATCTGTGAGGATTATTATCTGCTGCACTGATTGAACGGAACAGTTGTAGACGCTGTGTGTGAAGTGTTTTTTTCTTATGAAGCCTCAGATTCTCGTAAGTGTCAGAAACGAACAACCACATGTCACAAGGACAACTATTAACTCTTGACGGTATATTTCACTTGATCGAACATAGTAACTCAGTCTAAGACCACCAGATATTTATAGCATGCAAATGACAGAGTATAATCAGAAACGCTTACCCATAATTTAGCATACACGACAGAGTAAACAGTAACACTCGCATAGCGCAAAAAGCGTATACCATGCGTGATGCATCAGTGCTACGGTGAAGGCGAAATACGACATTGAAACGAATATCATGTCATCAGCGAGAAGGCCTTTCACACGTGAGAACTTGTGGCTTTATAACAGCTTGTTGCGTATCAGTTTTATTGGAAAGAAACCCTTTTCATGGCTCAATTTTTGTTGTGGTGCTTTGGTTTATTTTGTTTAGTTTTGCGTTCTTCTTTTCACTCAGTTGGACTGTTTTAGTTGCACAATGCAGTTTGTGCATGCACCATGGAACGGTTACGTCATTGTCATGCGTTTTGTTTTGTTTGCGCACATGCTCATATGCAGCCATGATGTTTGTCTTTTTCTTCAGTTTCCAGTTTACCTTGCTGTGTCCTGTAACGGAATCTCAGCCATTCCGTTCCCCAGTACGCCGGACACAAGGGACAAGACTAGTTTGGTTTACATAATTATTATTGACATTACGGAAATGGAGACAACACTCAAAGGGACGAACAAGAAGACTGACAAAAGGACTCTCGACTACAAAATCGCGCATGCTCATATCACACATGCACGCGACTAGACGAGACAGTTTGGGGAATGCCATCACACAGGAAAACAACACATCATTTCACAACACCTGCCCCCTTGATGACATTCCACAAAATAATAAACCGACACCACGTTCCACATGCACAACAGCAAAAAGAACCACAGCAGAACAGAAAAACGAAAACCAACCATCAACCTAGAGCCGACGCTCTACAACCAGGCCATGCCACACAAGGCCAACCGAAACACGGGAGCCGAAGCTCCAACAAAATAATAACATGCGCACAGCCGCACCAAATAGATCTACAACAAAAACAATGGAGAACAACAGAACGAATACAAGAGCAACAGACCAACAACAACCAAACTGAAACAACACAGCAACAATCAACGAACTGAACAGAGAGAGAACAACACAGCGAGCAAGACAACAAGCCGAACATTCACTCCATAAAATACCAATATGCCCCACAACACCTACACATGCTCAACACCCCCACTCAAGTTACGGCCCAGTACAGCCTTCAACACGCACGCACTTGGCACCTCCCACCCTCCAGAACCGATCGCTGTAAAGACTCCCCACTGCACAAGTCCCTAGAATACTACAATACCCTCCCTGCTAGCATTCGTGACGTCTCCTCCCGACCTGCTTTCAAACAAGAAATCTGCTCACTGCTGATTAACTCAATCTGCTCCTGCAGCGCTCACCCTCTCCCATACTTGTAAAGTTCAAAGTGATGTAAATCACTTTCCAACTGTTTAACCCACAATCTTACCTTCTCATATATTTATCTCTTATTGGCGATGGTGCCATCGTGAGAATAAAGAATTCAACAAGGACGACACACAGTCGGTGACGCCAGACTCGTCCACTGTCCTCTGGCGAGCCACGGTCACACGCTCCGTCGCGGTTCCTGCCGTCTCAGGCTCCAGTCCACAGTGACTGTTCTAGTCCACCACCTTCTCTGCCTCCTCTACGCGTCGTCTTCCGCTCCCACCAGGTCTTCACCTCCTCCGCTCCCACGCTCTGTTTACTTCAAAGTGACAGTTACTTCGTTGTTGACGACGACGAACAGACTCATTACAAACTAACTCATCCTCTGCATCCCGGGTTTCGGCACCACGTTGTAACGGAATCTCAGCCATTCCGTTCCCCGGGACGCAGGACACAAGGGACAAGACTAGTTTGGTTTACATAATTATTATTGACATTACGAAAATGGAGACAACACTCAAAGGGACGAACAAGAAGACTGACAAAAGGACTCTCGACTACAAAATCGCGCATGCTCATATCACACATGCACGGGACTATACGAGACAGTTTGGGGAATGCCATCACACAGGAAAACAACACATCATTTCACAACAGTCCGGTCTTCTTGTTCGTCAGTTGCCCGTCTCCGGCTTTTCGAATAAATATGTAAAAGTTTAGTTCAGTATTGTTGTTGTTGTGTGTGGCGGGTCGGATAGGCAGGGAGGGGCCCCTAACGCCTGGACAACATATGTCGGTGCACAAACTGTGCTTTTATCATGCTACTGATCCGCCAACATCTCACAGCTGGTTTTCTTCATCCCAAATCCCATTGAGACATCACTGCTCTTGTCTATCATTATCTACGCAATACAACCGGCTCGGACAATCGACTCGCCATCATGCTCCTCTCGGTCACAACCCCTGTGATTCTACATAGTGTAAGGATCGGGAGATCTCACGCAACGGACCTGATCACAAAAGGACGAGGTTAAAGAGAGCATGTCTGAGAAAACCAGAACATATGTGCAAGTCGATCTCTCAGATTTCGCTCAAATTTTGCAGGTAGGTTTGCTTTGGGGTGTAGATCGACATTCCAAAGCCCGCACAAAATCTTTTGATAGGAACCATGAAATTGGTATACCCCTCAATATTGGCTCAATATTGGCACGATTTAGGGGTCTACAAACAAGCCACGGCACAGCGTACAAGAACAAGCTACGAACAAAACTCCATCAAGCCAACATTACCTCACCTTAGAAGAGTTATTGGGGCAGCACCACTTAGCCACGCCAGCATCCCAGAAGGCGAGGGCAATCATCCCTTGACCCCACAAATGATCGTCTTTAAATTAGCCAAATTACAAGCGCTGATAAAACAGCGAGCTACGTCCTCAAATAGCAAACACTATACACCGGCAGATAGTAGAACACCTCTTCTAGCGCTGGAGGACATGTCCCCCATCATCCTTTTTGGATTTTCTTGAAATAAACAATTTTGAATTTGTCCACTCGACCATTCGGAAATACGTCCAAACTCATACCTGCGCAGGAAAGCTCGCCCTCCGCGACGTCTAGTCAGCAATTTCTACTCCAACACCACTCCCAACGCTGCAGAACAAAGTGTATTGTTGATTCTAACAAGGAAAAGCAGCGGTGATCACTTGTCACTCCAAACGACAAGCTTCTCCCTGCGCCACCAAACTTTTCGGTGCAACAGTTGATGCAAAAGTGACTGCATTTTTGCGTGTAGTGTTTGGATTTTACTGCAAGAGGAATGAAGAGATCACGTGGATCGTGACGTAGAATAATGCTTTCTGGTGCACAACACCATGCACACGATCACGATCGTTCCTGAGGCGCTATTCGAAACGAACCATGAGGGAGGAGGTAAGATGCATTTTTAATTATTTCTTGCATGCTCTGCTCAGAACATGCAGAAACTATCGTTATAGCGCTAGCATTATTGCATTGGCAAGAATTATTTGAGATATTTCCTTGTGCAGTATGAACAGGGATGCATGTTTTCACACTAACCTCGCTCATCCCGAACATGGTTCAACAGGAACTACGGCTAGTTTACATGCTTATGATTCACGTAGATCTGCAACAGCAAGGAATGAGCGTGGTCCATGCCATCAAGGTCGCTTGGAGTTGACCAGCGCGTGGCCTACATATACACTGGTTGCATGGGGTATGTGGCGCGCCCACATGGCAGATTTCTTACTACATAAACAACGTGATTTGACCCTATTCGCCCTAGTCTTTGTGCTGCCTGTTGAGGGAAAGTTCCGGCTGGAAGGCCTACAACACGACATGCGTGCTCTTGAGCTCGACATCAAGATGCACTTGATCTGATTTAGATCAACGGGTGATCCATGTAAGTGCACGTGCGCTTGATCAAGGTGACTCGAAACCACTGCTGAACCGTGATCTACGAGAACTGGCATTCTTGTGTCATGAGGCACGTGATTTCTTCATTCCTCTTGCAGTAAAATCACCGCTGCTTTTCCTTGTCAGAGTCAACAATACACTTTGTTTTGCAGCGTTGGGAGTGGTGTTGGAGTAGAAATTGCTGACTAGACGTCGCGGAGGGGCGGGCTTTCCTGCGTAGGTATGAGCTTGAACGTATTTCAGAATGGTCGAGTGGAAAAATTCAAAATTGTTTATTTCAAGAAAACCCAAAAAGGATGATGGGGGACATGTCCTCAGTGCAAGAAGAGGTGTTCTACTATCTGCCGGTGTATAGTGTTTGCTAATTGAGGACGTAGCTCGCTGTTTTATCAGCGCTTGTAATTTGGCTATTTTCAAGACGATCATTTGTGGCGTCAAGGGATGATTGCCCTCGTCTTCTGGGATGCTGGCGTGGTTAAGTGGTGCTGCCCCAAGAACTCTTCTAAGGTGAGGTAATGTTGGCTTGATGGATTTTTGTTGGTAGCTTTTTCTTGTACGCTGTGCCATGGCTCGTTTGTAGACCCATAAATCGTGCCAATATTAGGCCAATATTAAGGGGTATACCAATTTCATGGTTCTCTTCAAAGGATTTTGTGCGGGCTTTGGAATGTCGACCTACACCCCAAAGCAAACCTACCTGCAAAATTTGAGCGAAATCTGAGAGACCGACTTGCACATATGTTCTGGTTTTCTCAGACATGCTCTCTTAAGTCTCAATTCGACAACAGTGGAAAGAGAGTCTCAGAGGTTCGATGTAAAGACAGGACAGAGAGAAAATGTTCCAGCCAGAGCTTATCAAGGGCCTGGGTAGCTATGGAAATAAATGTGCTAAAGCGCGAGTCCAGCTACCCAGGCCAAAGGAACAA